TGCATATACACATACACATATGAATGCACATATGCACACTAAAAATGATAGAACTGTAATTTGTTAAACTGCAATAACTAACAGCAAAGAGTCCTCACTCAAACAGTATGGAAACACATACAAAGAAATAATAGTTTAAACAGAACAATAAAATAGCAAGAGTAAAATCGTATACCAGTATAGTGAAAAAGAAATAATTTAAAAGATGTTTGAAAGTAAGTATACATGTGGCTGTTCTAGTGTTAAAAGAATTTCAGACGATTGCTGGTACAATAGATTGAAAGCACCCCTTTTTCAAAGTCACGCAGAGCTTTCATCTCAAATATTAACATCGTACCTTTAGAAACAGAATTTTATGACTGACGTATTGTACTGGGTGGTCGAAACTCACAGAGAACGGATTTAACTGATATTCTGTCTGAGCTGTGAAACCATAGAAAAATAATATACTTTTTGTTCTGAAACTTTTAAGAAATTTTATTTTGCTAGTGTTAAAATATTTAAATGTGATCAATATTTAGGACCTCACTGAGACGCTCGTTAAAAAAATTGCAATCTGATTTCACGCAACACAAAATTTCTTTAAATTAAAAAACTCTTCAAGTCTCTAAAAGTTCTTTAATTTCATAGAATCTGTGCAGGAAAATGTCATTAAAAATTTGGTACGAATAAAAAATAAATTTGCAAAGTTAGCGAGCACCCGGTAGGTGAACGTTACATGCCACAGCGATTCTCTGACCAAGCTTTTTCCGAATGGAAATATTTGACGTTCCAGGAAAGCGACACGCAATCGCAATTTCGTAGCAAAGGAAAACATATTCGTGAGACGATTGGAAATCACGATCTCCAATTAACGCGACCGCGGCTCCATTCAACCGTTAGATATTTCATCGGAGATTTCCCTTTCCCCCGAATTAGCGAAGTTGTTACCGATCGCGTGTCGACTCTCTCTGTTTGGTCTGAAATGGTCGCGTGGCCACGAGGGTACTTCTAATTACCGATAATAGCGGTAAAGAGAAACTGGCAAAGTGCGAGGGGGTACGAGAGGGGTGGTTTCGATGGGGCCCATCGAAGAACCCTTCAGTTATTCGAAACAACAAAGACCCGCCGGCACCCTCTCTACCGTATCCGCTTCCCCGGCAATCATTTACTCTTGCTGGAGGCCATCGCTCGTCACAATGGCCAAGTTATCCATCCACTCCGGCTACTTGCCCGGGAAACGACCACCGCCCCCGGGCTGCCACTCGTCTTCTCCATCGCCTCTGCTCGCTTTCCGCACCAACGACACAGAGAAAACAAACACACACCTACAACACACTGTCTACACCTTGCTCCTTCGAGTTACTTTACGCCGCGAGATTGTTCCGAACCACTCGCTAAACGTCCTCTTCTCAACGATTCCTCCATTCACTACGCCATTTCATTTCTTCAGTTTCGGGTTAAAATTCATTTTCTCAAATCTTTAGATAGAGCCATGTATGATACAAGTATTTTACATTACGTATGTGCACATGTGTCTCAAACCTGTAGACATTAGAGCCATGTATGATACAAGTATTTTACATTACGCATATGTACACGTGTGCTTTGGTTGATGACACATATGAAGAAATTGGGGAAGAGTTTGTTTGCTATTGCGTATATGCACATGTGTTTCAAACCTGTAGACATTAGAGCCATGTATGATACAAGTATTTTATATTGCACATATGCACATGTGTCTCAAACCTGTAGACATTAGTGCCATGTATGATATAAGTATTTTACATTACGCATATGTACACGTGTGCTTTGGTTGATGACACATATGAAGAAATTGGGGAAGAGTTTGTTTGCTGACTTTCATTGCGTATATGCATATGTGTCTCAAACCTGTAGACATTAGAGCCATGTATGATACAAGTATTTTACATTGTGTATATGCATATGTGTCTTAAACCTGTAGACATTAGAGCCATGTATGATATAAGTATTTTACATTGTGTATATACACATGTGTCTCAAACCTGTAGACATTAGAGCCATGTATGATACAAGTATTTTATATTGCACATATGCACATGTGTTTCAAACCTGTAGACGTTAGAGCCATGTATGATACAAGTATTTTACATTGCACATATGCACATGTGTCTCAAACCTGTAGACAATAGAGCCATGTATGATATAAGTATTTTACATTGTGTATATACACATGTGTCTCAAACCTGTAGACATTAGTGCCATGTATGATATAAGTATTTTACATTACGCATATGTACACGTGTGCTTTGGTTGATGACACATATGAAGAAATTGGGGAAGAGTTTGTTTGCTGACTTTCAGTTTTTGTACACCTAACTTCTTAACAAGGGAACTTGAGTTGAGGAAAGAATGGAAGTCTGTGAATTTGATCTGCCTATTCAATTTGTGTTCTTCATTTTCTACCTCCCTTCGTAAGTGATCGCTTAAGTTTCTATGCTGTGGACTTACAAGACTTGTCGAAGAGTAGTTGAGAACATAAAATGTTATGGAAATATAAATTTGCAGAAGACTAGGTACTTTATCTCTTAAGAAACAAACTACACAGCTATGAATACAACTTTTCTTATCATTAACCACATCAACCATGGTAACTGTGCGTTGATCACGTTAACTGAGCGTAGACTACGGTAACTGAGTGTAGACCACGTTAACTGAGCGTAGACCACAGTAACTGAGTGTAGACTACGTTAACTGAGCGTTGATCGTTTCTGCCTCTTCAATTTGTACTCTCAGTTCTCCACCTCCCTTGATAAGTGATCGCTTAAGTTCCTACGCTGTGGACTTAAGACCTGTCGAAGAGCAGTTGAAACATAAAATTACAAAAGACTATGTTCTTTATCTCCCAAGAAACAAACTACTATGATTACTACTATGAATACACAGCTACAAATACAACTTCCCTTATTAGTAACCACGTCAACCGCGGTAACTGAGCGTCAACCACGATAACTGAGCGTAGACCGTTTCCTTAAATATCTGAAAGACGATCTTCTTGATAGAATATCCACACCTTGATGCAAAGTCGTAAAATAACAATGAGTGAAGCGCGAATTTTTTTTTGCACAAACAATCCAAGTCGAGGAACAATGGGGTGAAATGAAAAATGAAACGTCGCGGCGTCGCAACGCGAACTGATTACCCTCGTCGTTGTTCGCAACATTTTTATGCGCATTTACATGCGGCATTATTTATTCGCGACATGGCCCGAGCGAACAAAGTTCGAGCCGTTGGTTCGCGATAACCGTCTGCCGATGTTTACTGGCAACACACGCCGCGTCCCGCGTACACAGCTTTGCCTCCTATACAATATTCCGTGCCGTCTACTCGATGCTAGAAACCTTACACGCTTCCAAAGCTTCTTGAAACTGGCGAGTTACACCTCGCGGAAGTCCTTTGCCGATATGAAACCGAGAGGCGTTTGTATCGCGTATCGATCCTTGGTTCCTCTAACGAATCGCTTCTGGCCACTTTCGAACGACCACGATACTCGATGTTCGAAAGAAACTGAATTGTAGGTTCGTTAAGTTCTTTTGAAAATTGGGATGTCAGATTTTTTTATTGTTAGGTTAAATGTCTTTGTAACAGGTACATTTGTATGAGTATAAGATATTACAACAATTTAACCTAACCTAACTATATTACATTGGTATTATAGGTTTTTAACCTAACCTAACTATATTACATTGATGTAATAGATCTTTAACCTAACCTAACTATGCAGACTATTGCAGCAATGTAAAAATATTACAATAATGTAGTACTTTTTTTGAAAGCAGATTGTTAAACTGTTGAGAGATTTGCTTGAAATGTTAACTGATGCAGTAGCAGCCATAAGTCAGACATGTTGTAAATTGTACTTACGTGTTCAAAACATAACTGCAGCAAACTCATGCATCTTCGTGTCTGACAATTTCTTAGTTGTGACACATAAAATAATAATATACAATAATTTTATATACATCACATAACATATGTGACATATAACTCACTTTTAATAAATGTTCCACAAATTCATAAATGTTCAATGACAAATTTAACAACAAATAAGTTATTGAACATATTAAAGGGTTATTATAACTTAAAATTGAAGATGATAAAATAATTTCAAGAATGATTTTGTCCAAAAAAAGTATGAATAAAGCAAGGATGAATGAATGTGAATAGTTGACATGCAAGAATGAAAGTTAGTTAGCACAAAAGCATAACGTATAAATAAACATTAGAATCATTAGAAAAATGTTGAATTGCAACGAGTACAGCTTCACTTGACCTGTTAAACGGCAGAACTTTGCCCGTCCGTAATATTTTTATTCAAAAATTTGTCGCCGGGAGACGTCAGGACGAGCATCGCTGCTACGTACATACATATATCCTGTTTAACATTCCGTGTTATTATCACGAGCTAGCAAAACGTGACGGACGTTAATAACTGAGAGATAAACAAGCAAGAAAACGAATGTTTCAAATATTTTCATGAACGCGATTTTAAGCACGTTTTTACTTGCGGAGTTCGGGATCTTTCGTATCTTGATGGTTCTGGGGAGTCTGGGAGAAAGAGGGGTGATTTTATATACAATTATAAATAAATACATACATAAATTGCTGTGTAACTAAATGACTATGTAAGCATTTAAGTAAACGAACTAATTTAATAAATAACTGAGCAAACAAATAACTAAATAAATAAGTAACTAATTACCTACGTAAGTGAGTAATTAAGTGTTCAATTAACTACCCAAATAATTAAGTAGTTAACTAACCAGACAAATAACTGAGCAAGTACCTAACTATCTACCTAAGTACCTAACCTAAATAACTGAGGCAATAATTAAGTAACTAACCTAATCTAGATAAACTAGCTAACCTGCGTAACTTACCTAATCCACCCAAAACGCCTAACCTACATATCCCACCCGATCTACCTAACCTACCTAACCTACACAACACATTTAACCTACCTAACCCACCTAATTCACTTAATCCACTAAACCACCGAATCCAGCTAACGCTCCCAATCTATCTAACCTACTTAACTTACCTAACTTACCTAACACACTTAACCCACCTAAACCACCGGATCCACCTAACGCACCCAATCTATCTAACCTACTTAACCTACGTAACACACCTAACCCACGTAAACCACGTAAACCACCGAATCCACTTAACGCATCCAATCTATCTAACCTACCTAACCTACGTAACACACCTAACCCACGTAAACCACCTAAACCACTGAATCCACCTAACGCACCCAATCTATCTAACCTACTTAACCTACGTAACACACCTAACCCACGTAAACCACGTAAACCACCGAATCCACTTAACGCATCCAATCTATCTAACCTACTTAACCTACGTAACACACCTAACCCACGTAAACCACCTAAACCACTGAATCCACCTAACGCACCCAATCTATCTAACCTACTTAACCTACGTAACACACCTAACCCACGTAAACCACCTAAACCACTGAATCCACCTAACGCACCCAATCTATCTAACCTACTTAACCTACGTAACACACCTAACCCACGTAAACCACCTAAACCACTGAATCCACCTAATGCACCCAATCTACCTAACCCACCTAACCCACCTGAACCACCGAATCCACCTAACGCACCCTATTTATCTAACCCACCTAACCTACTTAACCCACCTAACCCACTGAATCCACCTAACCCACCTAAACCACCTAAACCACCGAATCCACCTAACGCACCCAATCTATCTAACCTACCTAACCCACCTAACCCACCTAACCCACCTAAACCACCGAATCCACCGAATCCACCTAACACACCTAACCCACCGAATCCACCTAACGCACCCAATCTATCTAACCTACCTATCCCACCTAACCCACCTAAACCACCGAATCCACCGAATCCACCTAACACACCTAACCCACCTAACCTACCTAAACTACCTAACAGTAATAATTAATGAACCAACTATAAAAATAATTAGCTAAGTAAGAAGCGAAAGAAGAAAAATATCCGAGTAATTCAAAAACGCGGATCACTCAGGAAATTGTATCTTAACATGGAGAAGAATAAGAAGTATAAAGAAGAAAAAAAGGCAGGGGATGTAGCAGAAAGTAAATGCAGCAGGGTAACGCGATCCGAGGATAAAAACATTTTCCACGTAGCCGTCCGGTGATTCCGCGGAACGTTTTAATCCAAACTATTCGGCGGGTAAGCGAGCTTGGCTGACTCTCTTTTCACTCCTTTACGAGGGATGCACTTATTAGACAGTGGCTGTATAAAGCTGAAACGCAGTTTACGTCGGGGTCTGGCTTAGTTGGCAACAAGAACGGTCGAAACCACACGTACACCAGTTTCGGCGATATAACGGCGCCGAGCAGAGGGAGCGGTTAGCTTCAGCGTGAAACTGACCTCTCTCTATGCACCTAGCCGCCAGACTGCAGCGGTAAACTGCACTTTAGTACTATGGACCGGCTTAAGCGATATTGAAGCGAGACCCTTTATACACTTAAAACATTTACCGTCATTACGGGGCGATCACGCACCGCTCGATACGACGCCTCCTTTAACGGATTCGAGCATCGATCCATAAGATATATGTAGATTTATAAGTAGATGTTTTGTGGGATGGGATTTTGTGGGATCGATGCGTGGATTTAGTGATGGGAGATTGAGGGAGGAGGAAGATGGAAGGGTGGATTGAGTTGGGAATTTGATTCATATTATCCGAACACTAAATCTTGAAATTTTGTAATTGTCTAGTTTAAAACTTTCGAATCCCTAGAACCACAAGTCTTCAGAACTCAAAATTCTAAAGTTCCTACCCTTAAAAATATCCAAATCCCTGAGAGCCCCAAATCCCTAGAACCAGAAGTCCTTAGAGTTGCAAGTTCTTAGAACTCCAAGTGCCTAGGATCTCAAATTCCTAGAACCCCAAATCCCTAGAATCATGTATTCCTAGAACCCCAAGTCCTTAGAACTCCAAGTCCCTAGAACTCCAAATTCCTAAACTCCCAAATTTCATATTTTCCAAATTCCAAACTTCCAATTTGCCTAATTTTCTATTTCAAAACTCCCAAATCCCTAGATCCCCAATTTCTAGAGTTCCCAACCTCAAAAATTCCCAAATCTCTAGTGCATCAAATCCCTAGAATCCCAAGTCCCTAGAACCCCAAATCCTTAAGCTCCCAAATTTCATATTCCCCAAACCCTAAATCCCCAAATTGCCTAAATTCCTATTTCAAAACTTCCAAATTCCTAGTTCCCCAATTTCTAGAGTTCCCAACATCAAAAATTCCCAAATCTGTAGTGCATCAAATCCCTAGAATCCCAAGTCCCTAGAACCCCAAATCCCTAAGCTCTCAAATTTCATATTCCCCAAACCCTAAATCCCCAAATTGCCTAATTTCCTATTTCAAAACTTCCAAATCCCTAGTTCCCCAATTTCTAAAATTCCCAAATCTCTAGTGCATCAAATCCCTAGAATTCCAAGTCCCTAGAACCCCAAGTCCCTAAGCTGCCAAATTTCATATTCCCCAAACCCTAAATCTCCAAATTGCCTAATTTCCTATTTCAAAACTCTCAAACCCCTATCTCCCCAATTTCTAAAATTCCCAACCTCAAAAATTTCCAAATCTGTAGTGCATCAAATCCCTAGAACCTCAAATCCCTAGAATCCCAAATTCCTAGGCCTCCAAATTTCCCATTTCCCAAAGCCTAAATCTCCCAATTCCCTAATCCCGAATCCAAACTCCCAAATCCTTATCTCCCCAATATCTAAATTCCCAACCTCCAAAATCCCCAACTCCCTAGATCCCAAATCCTCAATCTCCAATTTACCAAAATCCCCAAATCTTCCCTAAATTCTCACCTTCTCAAATTCCCAACACTCAATTAACCAAATCCCCAAAACTGCAACCACAAAAATCCTTCATTTCCTCCACGAAGCGCTCAATTACACCGAAATTCCGTAAACTGTCACCAGCCACAACATCGAGCGTGTTAATCAAATTTCGATCGCTACCGATGAACATCATCGATACGATTGTTTGACCGACGATATCGCAAATTTTTATTACTAGTTTGTCGCTAAAGTCCGCGATAAATATCGTGTTACGCGTACATTTGAAAATCATGTAACTACCGCTGTACTATTTTTGTTCCCGTCTCTTTTTATTTGTTTCGGCGTTGTTCGATCGTGAAATATTGTACAGAGATCTTGTTATTGACGATTGGTTACAAACGTTAAACTGGCCACCGCCCCGGCAATTATTGCGCGCTTCTAGCAACGACCGCGAGCACGGAAATAGCGTTTCGAGTTCTCCTATAGCTGTCTGTCACGCGACAATTACTCGAATTTCGCTGAAAATGCCATTAATGTACTCCAGTACTTAATTGCGTAGTGTCGCATCAACGCCGCTGTTCAACTTTTAATGTACTGCACACGGTGATGCGGTAATGAGTAGGTCAATACGATAAATATCGTCCTCCATTTTCTTTATTAGCGATGTGAATCGGTCCGCGTTCTTTCACTGCGCGCGAACTACTTCAGTTTCTTTAACCTCGATTTATGCTGCTCATATGTTTATACAATTATACAAGAAAATTTTGGATGAATTAATAATATTGAAATAGAAAGACAATGTTCGTGATGGTATTATATATTGAAGGATAATTCATGTGCACACATGTTGCTATATTTGAAGAGGTTATGTCTGAATACTTAAAACACATCTAACGTTGTGACGAACATATGCGTTTGATAATTGTTATTCTTCTTTATCCTCACATAGATGTCCTATAATGTTTTCACTTCTAGGTAAAATAAAAAAATGATACTTGTCTTTTATCTTCAGAAATGTCTGTCTATCATTACTGCTTTTCTATGATATCCATAATAAAACCCGATTAAAATAAAAATTGTTAATTAATCTCCAGTAGAGCGCTTATCAATATTTCCCCACAATATCCTTGCGAATAAAATAAAATGTCAGTTGAACAGCACTATTCCCCGAAACAAAAATGTTGGACACAGTTGGAAAAAGTACAGAGAAGAAATGCAGAGTGCATGTAGTCATCGATTGATCGGCTGTCACGAAGTATCAAAAACTTGATGACCGTTGACGAAGATCGAAAAAAGCTAACGGTCCGCGTAATACGGTAGGTGATATCGAAAGGCTGGGCAGCGATGGAGCCATTAAAAGGACGGAAAGAAGTCCCAGAAGGGATATTGTGGCGGGCTTTACGCGGCGGGTTACAGATAGATGGATGGATGGTGTCGCACCTACGACACCCGCGGCTCCCGTTGTTGGTTTTGCTTCGGTGAACCCACATGTCGTCGACAACGCCGCCCCGAAAAGAGATGGGAGTCGGTCGCGCCCCAAATGGACCATACTGGAAATGTATAGAGCTGCTCTAATAGGAAGCAACCGAGCGCCAAGTGGTTTCTCCACGGGGGACAACGGGAAGAGGGGGGCCAGCCGACTATCTGTCGGCATTTATCATCGATTAAATTGTAAACGCTGCTATCCGTGTCCATCGGGGCCACTATCCGCTTCCATGGAACGCTGCTCCCGGAATGCACTTTTGAGCAAATGCGCGCCCACCGCTTGTAAATCGCCCGCGAAATTGCGCGCTATCTCCGATTTTACGCGTTCGCTGGATTTATGCTCCGTCGTATTTTTTACGAGATATTTTCCAATTCCGATTTCGTCAAAGTTTCATTCTGGATGATTTTATGGTGTCAGAGGCAAATTGGAAGATTATGGAGCTTCGGATGACGATAGAGTTTTGAGTTAGATATTTTGAATTTTCAAATTTTTGAATTTTTGAATTGTGGAATTCACAAGTCTGGAAATTTTATGACTGATGAATTCCTAAATCTTCTCTTTAGATTCTTCCCTAATTCTCAAACCTCCAAAATCCCCACATCCCCAAACTTCTATAATTCTCAAATTTCCAAATCTCCACCTTATGAAATTATCATCCACCAAAATAAAAAATTATCAAGTCCCTAAATCTTCCCCACCCCTAAATTAACAAATCTCCACCTTCTCATATTACCACCCATCAAAATAAAAAATTGTCAAGTCCTAAATCTTCTCCACCCCTAAATTTCCAAATCTCCACCTTCTTATATTACCACCCACCAAAATAAAAAATTATCAAGTCTCTAAATCTTCCCAACCCCTAAATTCTCAAAATTCTAAATCTCCACCTTCTCAAATCACCACCCACCAAAATAAAAAATTATCAAGTCCCTAAATTTTCCTCACTCCCAAATTTCAAAATCTCCACCTTCTCAAATTACCACCCACCAAAATAAAAAATTATCAAGTCCCTAAATTTTCCTCACCCCTAAATTTCCAAATCTCCACCTTCTCAAATTACCACCCATCAAAATAAAAAATTATCAAGTCCCTAAATTTTCCTCACCCCTAAATTTCCAAATCTCCACCTTCTCAAATTACCACCCACCAAAATAAAAAATTGTCAAGTCCCTAAATCTTCCCCACCCTTAAATTCCCAAATTTCCAAATTTCCAAATCTCCACCTTCTCAAATCACCACCCACCAAAATAAAAAATTGTCAAGTTCCTAAATCTCCCCCACCCCTAAATTCCCAAATTTCCAAATCACCACCCACCAAACTAAAAAATTATCAATCCCCTAAATCTCCCCCACTCCTAAATTCCCAAATCACCCGACATCCAACCCCCCATTACCAAAGATCTCACTTCTACATCCCACATTCGCAGTCCATACCAAGAGTACACCCCTAAAAGAACGCAAAATAAAAAAAGTGTAGCGTTCAGCAAAAAAACCGCGAGTTGAAAGCAGAAAATGAGTAGCGGCACGCAGATGGTTTCCGGTCAAACTCGTCGATCCTTGCAGACTGTAATTTTTATTTAGTGCGAGTTTATTTATGAAACTCAGCGACGTGT